TCCTACACAATCGAACTAAAATAAATTCTGTATAAACCTTAGATTTAATTTTGAAGCACAAAAAGGTGATAATTTACCTCCATGCCATTAGCCAAAAATCCGGATTTTGGGCCAAAAGTATTACACTGTACGGTGGTCAATGAGAACCTTATTGTAAAGCTACATGAGACAATAAGAAAAGGAGGTAGCTCTAAAAAGTGTTGTTGGTGCAAACTTTCAAGCCTTCATTCGTACTAGGGGCATTCGCTTGTACTGAATGTGAATTAAGATGCTGGTGGTGGTAGTTTTCACTTCGGATCACGGCTATTTACCATTGCTAATTGCCTTCAATTTTGCAAGAAACTGATTACTTCTGTTCATGCAAGAGCAGAGGTACACAGTGAATGACCGTTCAACAAAAGTGACCTGCGCCATCCAGGAATCGAACCCGGATCGCACGACTCTCAGGCCAACGCTCTACCTATTGAGCTAACCGGACGGATCACTTGAATTAAGATCCAACTGTATATACCTTTTTTATAAAACGATTTCCATAGAATCGGAAGTAGCATTTCGCGCACGTGCATTTTGCGTAGGGCAAAAGGCAAAAACGAAATAAAATATTTTATCAGAACTCAACAACTTCATAAACAACTTCAGCCGTAAGTACGTAAACGTGATTTAATATTTATAATAGATAGATCTACATGTATAAGAATTTCCCTGGTTTAACATGTACAAGTCAAGGTTTAGAATTAATTGTAATAAGTGACAACTAGTGTGGGATGCATTTAACTAGATTTTGAAAAAGTGTTATTTTCAACTGGATAAATATTTGTATAAAGCTACCCATGTTCATAACTTCCCTACATCTTGAAAAAATAATTAAACATATTTATATGACTGTTTAATATCAGTGGCAAATCGACAAACAGATAGAATTAGGGAAACTGAATACATGTACTCAAAACAAGTTCATGGACATGCATTATCACTGGGACTTAACGATAACATTTATGTCACACTACCCGAATCAGCATGATTCTCTCCTCTTTTTAGAATGAAAGTAAACTGCGATATCATACTTTATATTCGCTTTACTTTTTTATAGAAGAACATAGTTAATATATTTTCTTGATAATAAAAAATTATATTTTTCATTTTTTTTACAAAAATTATCTTGATGGTTTTCAGGTATGACGTGGTGGCAAAGAAATTATTTAAGAAAACATCTTTTCCACATCTTTTTACGGCAATCTTGGCCACAAAGCTAAAAATACATCTTTTGCTTTTTTGTTAACAGCTATTTCGTATTTTTGTTTTCTTTTTTATCGCCAACTAACTAGTTGTCTATTAAAGTCTACTACATAATTATGTAGGGCTATGATCTTTTAACTTTTACAGATTGCCCATGCGCTAGGAAATACAACATCCGGTCGATTTTTTCATATCAACGGACCGCGTCGTAAATAGGTATATAAATTAAAAGCCAAGTCTGTCTTAACACTGGTACACTGTAAAAAATGGTAACGCCTGACGCGTTCCACAGGTGTTTGTTAACAAAACGCATGTGTTCTCGTTACATGTGCAGTATAAAAACACATGCGTTTCTTTATGGAGCGGGTGTTTATAACTAAAACAGTAATGTGCAGTGTTTAAACGGTTGGTGTTAATATTGGCATGCCTGTGTGCAAACATGAAACGTTTGTGTTTACTTTTATGTCATTAGCTCATCTCGTGTTTTGATTATTAATAACAAACAAAACAGAAACATAACAGTAAACAGAAACATAATAGTAAGGATAAGACAATACGAATGTTAAGAAATATATTTAATGCGAAATTGTCTCTGTCCTAAACGCCGGTGTTTCAGGGGCGAACATTCTGCGTATGTCATGAGTGCCGATCAAGAACACCTTCTGATATTATCCGAGGTGTTACGAATTTAACTTCCTTTCTCCTGCTGCAGCCGAATTTTTTGGCGCAAATTTTTATCTTTCTTCATTTGTGCGTAAATTTAGCAAGGAAAACATAGAAAAACAACAGCAAAAGGTTAGTACGATGTACTTATGTATTTGTAGATCAAATTCAAAGGTTGAAAAGGCAGATCTTTTTAAGACGGGCGCAAAAAAGCATTTTCATTAACCATAAAACTGATGTCCCCACCCACTTTGGTATTTCAAGAATATCTAATCAAAACATATAGATCTAGAGAATAACATGTTACTGTCTTTTGATATTAATTTTATCAGGCGAGGCTGATAAGGGCTAGAAAGGGCGAGTAAAGATAACAAGAAAATCGTCTAGCCTGTTTGTTATGATTACATGATATAGTATGACGTGAACATTGATGATGTCATTTGCAATGTAAATTATGACGTCACTTCATTTAGTTGGTGTTAAAACTATTCGCTATCTAATTTATTCGTAATTGAAATCGAAATTGAAATAATAAATAAATAAATAGATATCGCATTTTGATTCAAGACTTGTATAAGAGTATGAGATTACATTGTAGAATTCACATGCTGATGAAAATGAGAATATAAGCAATTGAAAAAAGTCCGTTAGAAATGGGCGTGGCTTATTCATCTGAAGTTTTGCACCTTTCTGTTAGCCTAGTCTGTTCATAATTTTGCTTTCAGGATGACTCTAATGTGGCAGTGCTGAAGGCTTAAGAATCAGAAACAGCTTACAGACAAGGAAAGGGCCAGAAGAATCAGCCTTTGATGCAAATAATTAAGGTAAGGGTGTTAGATATTCAAATCTTTTAATGTCCTAAAACTTCTTTAAATTTATGTGACCATCTGTGATTCAGTGATTGACATGTCTGTACATCTGTGTACATATTTTACATCAAAACTTTGTAGGGAATATACCTTAACATCTTATTTCCATAATTATCAGCATGTCATATTTGGCATGCACACTTGTTTGATAAATAATTAATGCGAGTTTTTAATATTTCAAAACAGATTTATGTAGGTAAACTATTCTAACAAAGAATAAATAATTTCCATGGTAGTTGTAATTTGATGATAACGCTAAAAATACTTTTAACATTGAATGATATCTAAGGTTTATACACATGCTAACAGTTTTTTTTTAAAAAAACTGATGTATAAAAATTTTCGATATTTGTTTCAGCTTGAAGATGATGGGAATCTTGTGAGACTTCTTTCTTCTGCACCAGAGTCGGCACCAAAGTTGGTTGCAATTGAGAAAGATGAATGTATTGTGAACATGGCTATTGTTTGTGATGGTACACACATTCTTCTAAAGACAGCCGATTCAATAGGGGCCATAGTTGTGTAGATTGGTTTGGTTTACCTTGCAGACCTAGATTATCCAAAGGCATATTCACAGGTTGGTTAAAACATATTTTCAACAAATTTTAATTATTATGACTCACTTAAGTTTTAATGCTAAATTTCTATTGATCAATTATGTAATATTGTAATAATAAGTCACAAAATTTTGGTTGATGCACATGCTCATTGAAAAATGGAGTCACTGGCATCACATTATAAAATGACATTTTGCACTATTCACACCACTGGTGAAAAGTACTTAAACTTCCTTCATAAAATTGCATTGACTTGTCCATGTGTATGTGATTCGCCAATTAGACTTTTATGCTTGTTTTTGTTGATGACAGTTTCAGTACACTAAGATCTCTTTTGCGAGTTATGAATCAAGACTTTATTTAAAGGAAAGAATCGAATTGATCTATCTAAGAAAATAAATATCCACACTAACATTGTCCTTTCAGAAAAAGAATGCTACCGTGTGTTTTCCAGTTTTATGTGATTTTGTGTTCTTAATCACAATTTCAAAAACCTTTTCCCCAAAATTTGAACCATTACCATTTTTGTATTCGCTGCGTAAGCAGTGAATACAGTTCTATCACAATTTGCGGGATTACAATATAAGTGTCAAGATTGTATTTTTTTTATTATTTTGTCGTTTTATTTTATGTTTGTTGCAGCAGCACGAATCTGATTCAATTCATTGTTAAATCAGTTTTTAGATATTTAGCTGAATTTTAATTTGCACTTTATTTCATGTTGATAGGTCTTTTTAAACTCAAGTTATAAGTATTTTAGTGCGTCAAAAGAAACACACTTTTGTTTAATTTTACCGCGACGTCGATTACATTGTGACGTCACGTCAATTGTTTTCTATCAGGTTCGTGCCGTTGCTATATATATTGAGACAAATAAAGAAACCGGGATGCTCATTAGTAGTAGATCGGGAAAAAACAAAATTTAGTTCCCGAATAAGGACCTTTCAGTATTGTCTTAGAGTCTTCTGCAGAAGGGGTGAAGCAAGTCTCCAGAGTGAAGCAAGTCCAGGAATTGCAGCAAGTCTAAGAAGCGAAGCAAGTCCAGGAATTGCAGCAAGTCAAAGAAGCGAAGCAAGTCCAGGAATTGCAGCAAGTCTAAGAAGCGAAGCAAGTCCAGGAAACGATGCAAGTCTAAGAAGCGAAGCAAGTCCAGGAAACGCAGCAAGTCTAAGAAGCGAAGCAAGTCCAGGAATTGCAGCAAGTCTAAGAAGCGAAGCAAGTCCAGGAAGCGCAGCAAGTCCAGGAAGCGCAGCAAGTCTAAGAAGCGCAACAAGTCCAGGAAGCGCAGCAAGGCAAAGAAGCGCAGCAAGTCTAGGAAGCGCAGCAAGTCCAGGAAGCGCAGCAAGTCTAAGAAGCGCAACAAGTCCAGGAAGCGCAGCAAGGCAAAGAAGCGCAGCAAGTCCAGGAAGCGCAGCAAGTCCAGGAAGCGCAGCAAGTCTAAAAGCGCAGCACGTTCAAGAAGCGCAGCAAGTCCAGGAAGCGCAGCAAGTCCAAGAAGCGTAGATAGTCCAGAGGTGCAGCAGGTCAAGAAGCGCAACAAGTCCATCCGTCAAGCAAGTTCCTTACGTTCTTAAGACAAAGTCACCTTGTGTAGTGGACCCACCAAGACTTACGTCTGACAAATTGTGGGCTCGTCCGGGATTTACTACACAAAAGGTTAACAACAAAAGGCAACATGAATTATGACGAATGGATTAGGTTGGGAGAGAGACTAGGTTTAAAAGGGGAAAGCCTAGCGACATTCATTAAAGAGAAGGAAGCAGAGTTCATTGACAGAGAGGAAAGGAAACTTAGGAGAGAAGAAGAGAGAAGGTTACATGAAATGCAACACGAGTTGCAGTTGAAAGAAAAGGAGTTGGAAGGCGAAAGAATAAGATTGACCAGACCGTCAATGGAAGGGCCTGGTAGAACGACTCATCCTAAACTTCCGAGATTTGACGAAGTTCATGACGATATGGATGCATATATTGAAAGATTTGAGAGGTATGCATTAAGCCAAGGATGGGAAGAGGAGACGTGGGCAATGAGTCTGAGTTCCCTTCTGACAGGGAGGGGACTTGAGGTTTATACAAGCATGTCCCCTGAAGAAGCGTGTGATTACACCGTGCTGAAAACAGCGGTCCTGAAAAGGTACTTGCTTACTGAAGAAGGATTCAGGGCAAAGTTTAGAGCAAGCAAGCCAGAGACAGGAGAGTCTGTTCATCAGTATCTGTCTAGGTTAAGGCGATACTTTTCAAGGTGGACTGACATGGCACAGGTGGAACAGTCTTATCAATCATTGTGCGAGGTGATGGTAAGAGAACAGTTTATTCAAAGCTGCTCCACAGACCTGGCCATGTTTTTGAAAGAGAGGGCGCCAAAGACAATGGCAGATCTAACCCAAATGACAGAACAATATGTGGAGGCACACGGTGGTAAATTGGCTTCCACGAAACAATCATCAAGTAATGGACAAAAAGTGTTAGAAGCAGAGCGTCGAATGGATAAAATATCATCACCAATTGGGAAAAGGTTCCCTGAGAGAAGAGAACGAGTCTGCTTTGTTTGTAAGAAACCTGGTCATCTTGCTAGGGACTGTCGATTTAAAATATTGACTAATCGAGAAACTCCATCGTTAAAAAGTGAAAAGAGAATTTCAGCAGCATGTACACACGTTGATTCAAGAGATGTTCCTGTGAAAACAAAGGCAAGCGGCCACTCAGAATGTGGAGAAATCCGTCAATTCTTTTCAAGTGGGTGTACCATAGAGGAGATGGATGAAGTAAGAAACCTGGACATTAGAAAGGGTTTTATTGGTGAACGAGAAGTAAAAGTACTTAGAGATACCGGTTGTGAGTCGGCTGTGGTGCGGAGAGAATTTGTGAAACCCGCGCAATTCATAGAAAAACAGGTAGTAATGATAACAGTTGATGGAGAAGGAAAAGTAGTACCTATGGCGAGAATCCATGTAGATACACCATACTTCGAGGGAGAGATAGAAGCGATGGTGCCGAAGACTTTGATATGTGACCTGATAATAGGAAATATCCCTAGGGCTAAAAATGTACCATGTCCAAAATGGCACAGTCTAAAAAATGAGAAGAATGCTACAGCAGTAGTGATGACCAGATCACAGATAGAGAAAGCAGAAAGACCACGACGGGCATTACAAGTTCCAGAACCTTCCTGCGATAAAGAAATGAACGTGGATGACCTGAAGGGTGCACAAAAAGAAGATAAGACTCTAAAAAAACTTTGGAGTCTTGCAGCAGTTGGAGAGAGATTAAAGTTGGCTGGGGGAGCTGAGTACAAATACGAAGTCAAAAGGGGAGTCTTGTACCGAATATTTCGGAAACCCAACAGACCCAACGATCCAGAGGTGAAGCAGATCATTGTGCCAACGTGCTACCGACGGAGGGTAATGGAATTGGCACATGAGTCCATCGTAGGAGGTCATCTTTCTTCACAAAAGACAAGTGACAGGGTTATGTCGAGTTTCTATTGGCCTGGAATTTGTGGTGATGTGACGAGATTTTGCCGTTCTTGTGATATTTGTCAAAGGACCATACCAAAAGGACGAATTAAGAGAGTCCCACTCGGACAAACGCCAATAATAGATGAGCCGTTTCATAGAGTTGCAGTGGATTTGATCGGCCCCATAATACCAGCATCGGAGAGTGGTAATAGATACATATTAACGATAGTAGACTATGCAACTCGGTACCCTGAAGCTATTGCGTTACCCAGAATCGACACAGACAGAATAGCAGAAGCAATGCTCGAAGTGTTTTCAAGAGTGGGTTTCCCAAGCGAGGTCCTCAGTGACCGAGGTAGTCAATTCACATCAGACTTGATGAACAAAGTGTGTCGCCTTATATCCATCAGACAACTGTTTACGACACCATACAATCCTAAGTGTAATGGACTTTGTGAAAGAATGAATGGAGTCCTGAAAGACATGCTGAAGAAGATGTGCCAGGAGAAGCCGAAAGATTGGGACAGATATTTGGCTGCGGTCCTTTTTGCTTACCGTGAAGTGCCACAGGCAAGCACCGGGTTTTCTCCTTTCGAACTACTTTATGGAAGGACAGTAAGAGGGCCAATGCAGATTCTGAAAGAAATGTGGACAGAAGAAGAAGTGCCTGAAACTCGTAACACATACCAATACGTGCTTGATTTGAAAAACAGACTAGAAGAGACATGTAAAGTTGCAGCCGATAGTTTACGGAAAGCACAAGCGACGTACAAGCATCATTACGACAAGAAGACAAGAAAAAGGTCCCTTAACGTTGGAGACAAAGTGTTGATTCTTTTGCCGACAAATAAGAACAAAATGATGTTGCAGTGGAAAGGCCCAGGTGAAGTCATTGGGAAGATCAATCAGTTCGATTATAAGGTTAATATTGGTGACAGGAATGCCACATACCATATAAATCTATTAAAAAAGTATGAAGAAAGGACAGACAATGCCATTGTAAGTATGGCTATCGTCGAATCAGACAAATATGACCATATAGGAGCAGTTGATGACGAAGACCTTCTTGAACTAGCAGCCATCGCTGGAAAAGAAAACTTCAAAGATGTAAAAGTTTCAGACGAGTTATCCCCAGAACAAAGACAACAAGCCCTCAAATTGGTAATGGCATACAAAGATATATTTACAGATCAGCCAGGAAATACAACTCTTACTGAGCATACAGTCGACTTAACGACGAACACGCCTATAAGACAGAAGCAGTATACCATGCCATATGCCAAAAGAAAAGACATAGACACAGAAGTGGAATCAATGTTGAACTCAATGATTATAGAGCCGACCGTTTCAGAGTACAACTCACCTATAGTGTTAGTCAGAAAGAAAGATGGTACCAACAGATTCTGTGTAGACTTCAGAAAGCTGAACGCAATCACGAAATTCGATAATGAGCCGATGCCAAACGTAGACGATATCATGGCAAAGCTTAAGGACGATGTCTTCTTTACAAAAATTGACCTGGCTAAAGGATATTGGCAGATTCCAATCAGGAAGGAATGTCGGCATTTGACTGCATTTTCAACCGACAAGGGTACTTACCAATTCCGCAAGATGCCATTTGGAATGGTCAACTCAGGAGCAACGTTTAATCGAATGATGAGAAAATTGCTAAATGGTTGCAGGGGTGCTGACAGTTATGTCGACGATATCCTTGGACATACAGTAACTTGGGAGAGCCACTTGCAAATGATTCAAGATGTTTTCCAGATAGTCAGAGATGCTGGGCTTACCATACGACCTTCGAAATGCATGGTTGGTTTCAAGAACATTGGGTTTATTGGTCACATGGTCGGGAACGGAGTCTTACAGATGGAAGAAGATAAAGTCGAACGCATCAGACAAGCTGAGATTCCAAAGACAAAGCGTCAAGTTCGAGCCTTTTTGGGTCTGGCAGGGTACTATCGAAAATTCATACCATCATTCGCAGAAGTTGCCTCACCTCTGACTGACCTGACAAAAAAGGGCCATCCTAACAATGTGACTTGGGGAGATCCTCAGAACAAAGCGTTTAGAAACCTGAAAGAACAACTGACAAAGGCTCCGATCTTAAGACTGCCGGACTTCAATCGAGAGTTCGTTATACAAGCAGATGCCTCTAATGTTGGAATAGGAGTTGCCCTGCTACAGCATTACGATGATGGTCTGTTTCCCGTAGCATTTGCCAGCAAGAAGTTGCAACAGCGCGAACGAAACTATACAGTTACCGAAAGAGAATGCCTTGCTATTATCTTTGGAATAAAGAAATTCCAGAAATACCTTTATGGGAAAGAGTTTGTGATACAAACCGATCATAGTGCCTTATCATACATTCAGAAAAGTAAGCTGGAGAATGGCAGGCTGATGAGATGGGCCTTGTTTCTTCAAAATTATCGTTTCCGAATTCAGGCTATCAAAGGTTCACAGAACTTCTTTGCCGATTATCTTAGCCGACAAGACACCCAGATCACCGATGAAGACAATCAAGATACCTTGCCGAAAGAACCTGAGTGCTTGAATTAATCTTGACTTATTTTAGGTGAATATATATTCACTTGAAAAGAGGGGCTATTGTCAAGATTGTATTTTTTTTATTATTTTATCGTTTTATTTTATGTTTGTTTCAGCAGCACGAATCTGATTCAATTCATTTTTAAATCAGTTTTTAGATATTTAGCTGAATTTTAATTTGCACTTTATTTCATGTTGATAGGTCTTTTTAAACTCAAGTTATAAGTATTTTAGTGCGTCAAAAGAAACACACTTTTGTTTAATTTTACTACGACGTCGATTATATTGTGACGTCACGTCAATTGTTTTCTATCAGGTTCGTGCCGTTGCTATATATAGTGAGACAAATAAAGAAACCGGGATGCTCATTAGTAGTAGATCGGGAAAAAACAAAATTTAGTTCCCGAATAAGGACCTTTCAGTATTGTCTTAGAGTCTTCTGCAGAAGGGGTGAAGCAAGTCTCCAGAGTGAAGCAAGTCCAGGAATTGCAGCAAGTCTAAGAAGCGAAGCAAGTCCAGGAATTGCAGCAAGTCAAAGAAGCGAAGCAAGTCCAGGAATTGCAGCAAGTCTAAGAAGCGAAGCAAGTCCAGGAAACGATGCAAGTCTAAGAAGCGAAGCAAGTCCAGGAAACGCAGCAAGTCTAAGAAGCGAAGCAAGTCCAGGAATTGCAGCAAGTCTAAGAAGCGAAGCAAGTCCAGGAAGCGCAGCAAGTCCAGGAAGCGCAGCAAGTCTAAGAAGCGCAACAAGTCCAGGAAGCGCAGCAAGGCAAAGAAGCGCAGCAAGTCTAGGAAGCGCAGCAAGTCCAGGAAGCGCAGCAAGTCTAAGAAGCGCAACAAGTCCAGGAAGCGCAGCAAGGCAAAGAAGCGCACAGCAAGTTCTGGAAGCGCAGCAAGTCCAGGAAGCGCAGCAAGTCTAAAAGCGCAGCACGTTCAAGAAGCGCAGCAAGTCCAGGAAGCGCAGCAAGTCCAAGAAGCGTAGATAGTCCAGAGGTGCAGCAGGTCAAGAAGCGCAACAAGTCCATCCGTCAAGCAAGTTCCTTACGTTCTTAAGACAAAGTCACCTTGTGTAGTGGACCCACCAAGACTTACGTCTGACAATAAGAATGGGTTCCTAACAACGCAAAGTAGTTCTACACAGATTTTCTTGTCACACACAAGTGATAAGATTTTGAATTATCAGTAGTTCATTTTTGATTGTGTTATTTCTATCGTATATTATTTGCATGTTTTCAGGATATAATCAGTAAAAAATATCATTAGTATTCATTCGCGTTAACTTTGAGTAAGGAAGTAGTTCGTACCAAAACAAAGTTTTCGACGCTATTTTTGTATGTGAAAGCTGATCTCATCATTTTCTAAAAGTAGGTACAGAAAACTTACCAATATTATTTAAACCTAATGTAATCAGTTTTGGAAGTCTTATTTGGATTTCATGATGTGTAAACTAACAGTGTTGATAATTCAGGTGTCTTGATATATTTTTTGTTGTTTGAGTTGTTTCCCTTGGTTTTCCGCAATATCACTAGTTTTGTCTATGTTTAAGCGGCTTTGTTTGTAAAAAGTTCAAAGTGTTCTTAATTTATTGGAAATATGGATTATTGATAGTTGGTCAGTATTATTTTGAGTTGCATTTGGTTTAAATTAGTGTTTTATAGAGTGTATGTCATAGATGATTTTTTAATTAAGTAATGAGTGTGGTCTGATTTGAAATGTCATCAGTTTTCGTGATTTGGAACCTTTGAGAATTGTTTTCAGAAAAATCCGTTAATCTAGCTCTCTGTTTACTTAATCTCACATTTCATTCCTATCACTTTGCACATTGTGTTTATTATATTTTGCAGAAGTTACAGCAGATAGAGAGTTTGACAGTATGCGTGTTTGAAGAAGATAATGCTATTATTGGTACATTCAATTCCACGAACTGGTGAGTTAAGAATTTATTTATGATTATGATGTATTTTATAATAACTTCATTAAATGAACTTATGATTGTGGCGGCCAGTAGAAAGCATATAGCTATAGTATTAGAGGTGTCATCGATACTTAAGTAATGAATTATCGGCAATACAGCGATATATCGATTGCCAGGCTAAATTTTAGCTTTCAATTCTTTTTAATGTTTCCTAAGGACAATGACAAAGCAGTTATATTTAGACAAATGCAAAAAAGATAAACTATGAAAACTGAACAATTTGTTTTTTTTTATCACATAGCTATAAATGAAAACTAAAGACTAGGAACTATAAAGT